TATCAAGAGCTCTTACCATCATCTTCGTGAGTTCATCCTCCGACCAGGCATTGCTCCACCACCTGCCTAAGAGTTGCGTGTTGAAATCTTGAAGGCTCTCAGACCGACTCGGTCCAGCAACAGTCAGGTCCACTCGAACTGTGGTCTCATCCTGCAGTGAGCAGTACAACAGGAATACGTGACCTGTCTTGCTGTGGACAATCTTCTGGGTGAGGAAGGAGAGGGCGGACAGAGACACCATTTCCGGTGATTGTCCTTTGGCTTTGGTGGGTATATACAGGTGAAACGGGGGGTGGTGGCTTCTATTCCAGCCTCGGGTGAAAGTTATGTACAATTCCTGTTGAAGGGGTGGTTACTGGAATAACAAAGGTTGTTGTCCATGCGGGGTCTTTGCCTGGGAAGCTCTCTTAAGATTGGTTCTCCGCTCATGTTCCATTGCCGTTTCTGGGGTTCCCGCCACCGCCTTGACAGCACTGGGGTTCGAATGAGTCAAGACATCCGCTCCTCGGTTCCACGGCGGCACCAAAAGATCATTCAACGGAATCACATTGCTGACGGGACGCGGTACAGAGCACAGACGAAATATCAAACCCCGAGCCTATTATACAGTATTAAGTCCTTCGATGATTCGAATCTACAACATCATTATTTTAAGGATTAATGTCTCCTCTGAATTTCGGTAAGCGAGTTTCATACCTCATCCTTGGTGATCGTGCGAAGCTCCCCAGGCGACGCAACCTTTCCCGTAACGGCGGAAGCCATTATGTTGACCTGCTGACCCAGCTTGCCCTTGGTGCTCATCCAGTATCGAATCTAGGTCCAGAGAGAACGAGTTGCAGAGTGAAGCGTGAGCACGCTTGCCCTTGCACGCGTTGGAAGGCTTACCGAATCCGGAATAATTTCGATGACGCACACCCGTGGATCATTTTTGTTGCCCTTGTGAACGCCGTCGCCCAAGTCCCCGAACCAAGCTGAGGCCATGGGGCTCCAGAGCTTGTCGATCTGCTCGCGATTTTGGTGGGTCTTGGCCTTGCCGCAAACGGAGACCCAATTCGTGGAGGATGGGTCTAGGAAGGAGACGTTCACGTCATCGACGGTGTTGAGCTCGTCTTGCTTATGGGACGTGTTGTCGCTGATAAAGGAGAAGTGGAGACCATCATCTAAAGGATGGTGCCAGTGAGAATCACGGGCCACATCGAGGGTAAGGGAACCCACGAGAGGCAAGAGCCATGCAACGGGAGTGCATGCAGCCTTGAGCGTCTCGGGTCGTGACTAACAAATGGCAGTCAGTCAGTCTTAGGCGTGATGTGAACGTTCAGGACTGAACGTACGCATTGCATACTTCGTCTGCTTGAGGATATTGTTCAGGTCGTCAATCTTCTGCTGAGGAGTGACGTCCCTGGAGGATTCGGCCTGGGCGGTGTATTGATCGGTGCTAGACATTTTGGTTCAACTAGATATGAAGCTTGAAGGGGAGAAAAGTTGGTATTGCGTCTATTGTGCAAGTAAAAGCCCTCTTTATATGGAGGATTGGAGGAGAACACTGACGCCAACGACGTCATGGATCGTCACGGGCGATTCAAGCTATCCCAAGCGGAGCGGATCGAACCACGACGGGCCTGGCGAAACTTCTGTTCCGCGCCATTCTAAAGCTCCAGAACACTCCTTGTCAGATCACTAGTGAACTCAAAAGTGGTGAGGGGCAAGGAGACGGTGCAAGACGGCGAAGAGTCGGGAACAAACAAACATTCTGAGTCGAGCCACCGCTTCCGAATGGCAAGACTACTCCCACACCACAAGAAGCTATCTCTTCTCTGATCTTTACGGGCATTGCTACCTCTGCCTGAGTTTTGGCGCCGACAGATTAGTCGATCGTGGTGATGACTCAAACTGAAGTCATCTCTGACTTACGTCCAGAGGACGCTGCAGCGCTCAACGTCTCCCCCTTCGAGGGTCCCGAGAAGCTGCTTGAAGTCTGGTTCGCTCCCTCTGCCGAAGACGTCGTTGCCGATGACGACGAGCTTGATGAAAAGATCGGCGTGAAGAGGAGTGGGCTGAGGAGAGTAAAGAGGGAGGTGTGGGAGGAGATGCTGGACATCGTCAAGTGCAAGGTCCTCAGCGTCATCGAGGGCGTTGAGATCGACGCATATTTGCTTAGGCAAGCCTCTAGAATATCGACCTAATATGGGATATGTTCTCAAGAGGCTTTTCTTATAGCGAGTCTTCCCTCTTCATCTCGCCGCACAAGCTAATCCTTAAAACCTGTGGCACGACGCTTAACCTCCTCGGCTTGCCCAAGATCCTTTCCATCGCTGCGGCACCACCTCCGCTGCTGCTCTCGGTTCACCGACTCTGGTATTCCAGAAAATCCTTCATGTTCCCCGAACGACAGCCAGGTCCACACCGGGAATGGACGGAAGAAGTGTCGTTCCTCGACAAGCTCTTCGGGCCGGGTCATGAGAAAGCCCATCGAGGAATCGGAGCTGCGTATACTGTTGGGAGCGTTAATCGGGACCATTGGCTTTGCTACGTCACTGCGCCGTCTGATGAAGATGACGAAGAGGCCGAAGAGGAAGCAGCGAAGGACGAGGCTGCACCATCGTCAGCGAAAGAAACCCCTTCACTCCCGCAAGACTTTACGCTGGAAATCCTCATGTCAAAGTTATCCGCTCCAGGCCGTCGACCATTCTTCTTCCCAGACTCTCCACCACCGGCCGCTGGTTCGGACGCCTCGACCTCACCACACCACGCTCGAGGTCAAGCGCTTTCCAAGGAGGTCGGTATCACGGACCTCTTCCCAGAATCTCAAACGACCCTGGACGCGTTCGCATTCGAGCCATGTGGGTATTCCGCGAACGGCCTGGTACGGCACGACCAAGGAGAGGGTTACTACACGATCCATGTCACGCCTGAAGAAGGATGGAGTTACGCCAGTTTCGAGTGCAACATTCCCCTTCCAACTCCTTCGTCTTCGAGCTCTCCATCGGCATCTTCAGATAAGATGCCCGACTTGGAGACCCTCATACAGCGGGTCGTCAAGATCTTCCAACCCGGGCACCTTACGTTGACGCTCTTCGTCTCTTCTAACACGGATGATTCACCTATCGAGACGGCTCAACGCACTTTCTTCAAAGCTCTGACCGCCAAAACACTTGGGTTCAACTACAAGCGTGTGGACAAGATTAACTACGAATTCGGTGGATACGACTTGGCGTTTGCTAGCTTTGAGAGGAAGGCTGGTTGGGAGTACCAGGAGCATCAGCCAGATTGGAAAGTTGTCGTCGAGCCAACGTTGAATAGCTGAGATATAGCACTCTCTGTAGGGTTGTAACTTGAATATACTTAGACTATTGCATCTTACTTAGAATGAGGTCACTTAAATCATGAGTAATTTGACACACGCGGGCGGGCATAAGTTTAGGGATACGATCAAGGGGTTATATGTATACAAAGAATGGCGGAAGCGAACGGCATACGAGGGTCTTGATAAAGAGATGTAAGTGATACTCTGAGACTGGTTACATCAGGACAAATGGCGACATCGACGACAGACTTGTACAACGATGAAGATGAAGCCAACGATGTATACTATATGGTAGCCTAACGCTTAAGTGCGCTCGCCACGGA